ATGGCAAGAAATTTTATTTCATATATCTGTCAGATGTGCTCAGCCACTAAACCTCTGGTCACATTAAAAAGCCAAAATATTAATAAGAAAGGAAAACCAGTCCACATTTGTCTATGCCTAAAAGGACTCCTCAGGGCATTGAGAGAAAAACTGACTTCAGAAGAAGTTATATACTAATTAGTAGTTAATTCTTCTCTCCCATCTTATTTAGTTTGCTCTTTAAAAAGCAAATATCACCATAGCAAAACTTCACTGTCTTCAAGCAGAAAAAAATATACCAACAGATCTTAAGACTACACTGGCAAACCAGTCATTAAAGAAATGTAGACTTTTATTCAGGGGAAGACAATGGAGAATTTAGTAACACTAAGAATATCTCTTCAGGAAGTAACTCAGGTAAGAACACTAAGCAATTTTATTTATCATCATCTTTATTCTTCTTCCTTGATTAAGACTGATAAATAAATATACCATGTATATAAAAATATGGTGAAGTTGAAAGGACAGTATATTTGGAGGCAAAAGATCCTGGTTCATATCCTGGCTTGGTCATTTTCTAATTTTGTGTAATTGGATTTTAGGCTTCAGCACTGGATGAATGGTATTGCTATTTAATAACATGAGAAAACTAGGAAGAGTATCTATGGAATTGAGACCAGAAAATAGCAGTTCTGTTTGGGACCCATTAAGTCTGTAATGTCTGTCAGTCATGTAAGTAGAGAGGTTGAGTGGATAGTTTCACATATTAACATGTAGTTAAAGGAAAGGGTAAGAATTGAGATATATTTGATATTGAGAGAGAGGGGATAGAGATAGATGAAAATCAGGAAAGTGTGGTAACATGGAAGAGGGAAAGTGTTTCAACAAGAATAGAATTAGTGAACTGTATTGTAAGCTACTGAGAAGTCAAATAGGATAAGACTAGAGACATTGACATTCAATCTGGCAACATGGAGCTCATGGGTCACCAGTGGGTAGGTAGAGATAGAAACCTGATTACTGTTGGCTAATAAAATCATCTAAGGTGAGGGTGATAAAAAAAATATTGTGGGAGTGTGATGTGGATTCATGTCAGGCTGTTTTAAAGATAGGAGATACTGGACAAGATCTTTAAGGACAGGAGATATTAACAAAGGATATATTGATTTGTATATTGCAGCTTAGGTATGGAGGTATCTAAGGTTAGATAATATTGTTCATAATGTTTGAAGGAAATGGGTAGCTGGATGAGTCAGTGAAAAAGAATGCAAAGTAGGACAGAGCTGCTTAAAGTGGCATCATGGTTGGAAATGGAGAAGGAGAAGGATGTACACAGAAGATACGGCTTAGAGAATCCAGCAAGTGTCAGGTGTGGTGTTACAGCTTGGAGCTGCTTTGGGTACCGATGGTTCCTTCATTCCTGCTAGGTCCTTTCCCTGAGTTTTATAATGGGGTTATTGTGGTCAATAAGTATTACATTGCAGAGGCGATGAAGGAAGGCCAATTCTTCTGAAGAATATCAGTAAGGCTAAAGGAGGCCAAAGCCAGATGACTTGAGACTTACTCCTCACCTTCTATGTTTTTGTTGTTGTTAGGTGCTATTGAGTCATCTTCTACTCATAGCAACCCTGCACACAGCAGAATGAAACACTGCTTGGTCCTGTACCAGCTCCATGATCCTTGCTATACTTGAGCCTATAGCCACACTCACTGTGTCAATCCATCTTGTTGAGGGTCTTTCCCTCTTTCGTCGACCCTCCACCTTACCAGGCATGCCATCCTTCTCCAAGGAATGGTACTTTCTGAAAACATGACCAAAGTAGGTGAGATGAAGTCTGGCCATTCTCGCTTCCAAGGAGCATTCCAGCTGCACTTCCTCCAGGACAGATCTGTTAGTTCTTTTAGCGGTCCATGGTACTTTCAGCACTCTTTGCCAGCACCACAACTCAAAAGCATCAATTCTTCTTCAGTCTTCCTTATTCATTGTCCAGCTCTCACATGCATATGAGGTGATTGAAAATACCATGGCTTGTATCAGGCACACCTTAGTCCTCAAGGAGACATCTTTGCTCTTCAGCACTTGAAAGGGTCCTTTGCAGCCAATGTGCCCAGTGCTATATATCGTCTATAGGAGCTCTGGTAGCGTAGTGCCTAAGGCACTTGACTGCTAACCAGAAACCTGGTGGTTCAAACCCACCAGCCAATCCTCAGAAGGAAGGTTGGGCAATCTACTTCAGTAGTGATACAGCCTTGGAAACCCAAGGAAGGGTCGTTCTGAGTCGGTCTGACTCCACAGCAAACACCACCAACAACATATGTCGTCTGATGTCCTGACTACCGCTTCCATTGACATCAATTGTAGAACCAGGCAATGTCAAGTTTTTGACAACTTCAATCTTTTCTCCATTTATCATGATGCTGCTTATAGGTCCAGTTTTGGGGACTTTTGTTTTCTCTATATTTATATTGTTTTCTTTATATTGAGACAATAATGAAACAACAATGATATTGTTTGATAATTTCCACATTCTGTGGGTTCACCTTTCTTTGGAAAGGGTACAAATATGGATCTCTTCCAGTCAGTTGGCCAAGTAGCTGTCTTCCAAATCTCTTGGCATAGCCAAGTGAGTGCCTCCAGCACAGCATCTGTTTCTTGAACCATCTCAATGGGTATTCTGTCAATTTCTGGAGTCTTGTTCTTCACCAATTCCTTTGATGGAGCTTTGACTTCTTCCTTCAGTACCGTTGCTTCTTGAACATATGCCACCTCCTGAAATGGATGAACATTAACCAGGTCTTTTTTGTACAGTGACTCTGTATTTCTTCCATCTTCTTTTGATGTTTCCTGCATCATTCAATATTTTGCCCATAGAATCTTTCAGTATTGCAACTCAAGGCTTAAATTTTTTCCTCAGTT